CCCGCCCGGTTTAACACGCTGCTGGTGGTTGGCAGGAAATTCCGGAATGGATTCTAGGATCAGTCGTCAATGAAGAGTCCCTGAACCAGAGCCAGGAATACACTGAGAAAAATACTGCGGAGCGAGGAAAGAAGGGAGAGAAGTTCATACGAGAAAGATAATATTGGAAGGTAGGGTCGTGGACTTTTGTTGGTGTTAACTGAATATTCTATCACCCTCTAGTTTATCTGCCAATCTCATTCTTTGAATGGAACTTTGAGGGGTTGGGATAGAGCTAGGATTTGAGCAAACTGAATTGAGAGGTTGGCGGCTGTGGCGGAAGGTTAGGGATCTAGGAAGCCTAAAAGAGAGAAACACTGACTGGAGCTCGGGATTCGGGGTGTGTATTCACAAGGTCACTAAGGAATCCTGGGTCTAAAGCCCTTTCCCTAGGTTCCCTTCACTCCAACTTCTAAAGTCTGCCGCCACCTCCGCACCTCTCCCCACTGCGGACTTTCTGCTCTTTCAGGCTTTCTGCTCCCTCTGCTGGCGGTTCTGGCACTTGACACCATCTTGGAGTCCGGGAAAATGCAGGCACGCTGGAGCTAAAGAAGCTTTGACAGATCTCCCACCACCACCACCACCACCACAACCACGAAAACCCAGTTAGGATCCCGGAGGGGGGGACGTATGAGCCCAATGAAATGGAGGGTACACATGCGAGGCTGTTAATGCCTAGCGGTTGTGCCTGACGAGGGGTGCCCTGTCCCTTTGGATTTGTGTTGCCATAGTGACTGTATTCAGGGATAGGGGCAGCTATTTCAGTCTCTGGTCTTTCTGATAAAGAAGAGAAAGCATGATGGCGGAAAGGAGACCCTTCCCCTTAATGTCATCTCTCAGACAGACCTCCCACATCCTAGCTATGTCTCCAAGGACCACTTTCTTAAGTCTGGAAGGTCAGTGGGTTAACAGTTCTATCAGAATCAAGGGGGAAAAGAAAAGGTGAAGCTAGGGGCAGGCCAGAGGTCCTACAATAGGGTAGTGATTCTGCGGGTGGGGACGTATAGGGAACACTGTTTGAGTCTGCCTCCCCACATGACTGACTCAAACCACTTACACATAGAAGGTCATGGACCTTCACCCTGCACCCAATTTAGTCAGGCTGACCAATGGTCATTGAAAAAGAAGGGACACAACATATGCTCCCTTCCCAGATGCCTGCCCCTTCTTCCAGAGGAGCTCTTTTAGAACACACTATAGATCAGCAATTCTTAAACTTTTTTATGTTTTAAGAAATTCTTCAAAATTATTGAGCTTTTTTTTTGCATGAGATCTAGATCTATCAATTTATCATATTAGAAATTAAAACAAAAAATTATAACACAAGAATACACAACTTCACATTCCATTAAGAATAATGTTAGAAAGATGATGTAATTGCTTGTCACACTCTGGAAAACTCCATTGTACAATTTTGAGATAATGAGACTAAAAAAGACAAATAACATCTTAATATTATGCAAACAGTTTTGGCTTTTGGAAACCCTGAAAGGGTCTCAGGGTCCTCCTTGAGGTCCCCACATCACACTTTGAAAACTATTACTCTGGACTATCACCTCGGCCCTTCTTCATGACTCACATTTGTTGATTTGCTTTCTCTCTTTTATTAAGAAAGTATAAGCTGGACATGGTGGCACACACCTGTAATCCAGTGGCTTGGGAGGCTGAGGCAAGAGGATCATAAGTTCAAAGCCAGCCTAAGCAATTTAGAAAGACCCTGTCTCAAAATTAAAAAATAAGAAGGGCTGGGGATGTGGCTCATAGTTAAGAGCCCTGGGTTTAATCCCTGGTAACGAAAAAAAAAAAAAAAAAAGAATAAATGTTTGTGTTTCCCCAGGGAAAATCAGAGAATTTCTTAGGCTTAGCACCCTTTTTTCCTGATTCCTGCTTCTGGAGTTTTCCTAAACACCTTCCCTTGGCACCTTGTTCATCTCCCTCTTGACCCTCCCTTAAAGCACTCAACAATCCCTACCCTTGGCCAGCCCATTTTCCCTGTCCCAAGCTTGCTGAAACTTCTGCTTCCTCCCTTTCTTGAGGACTTACTCTTCTTGGGAGAGACTAAGTAATTTTCTCCGCCTTCTCCTTCCCTCTCTTCCCTGCTAGCCCCTGCCATCTTCTCACTTGGGGTAGAAAATCATACTGCCTGGGTAGTCCCCTTAGAGGAAATACTTTACCCATTTGCCCACATATCAACCAGCCTGAAAAAGGCCAAAAGTCTGGGACAAGAAAGTGTGCATTTGGGTCACATAGGGGTCAACCCTGACATAGTGCCAGGTAGTCTTGTTGGGTGGAGGTGCGGATCAGGAAATCTGATGCCTCCAGACACAGATGCCCTTTACCTGGGAACCCCCAACTTGATATCTTCTATCTGAACCCCCAGGTCCTCTTGCTAGCTACAACCACAAGCCTCCACCACCATATCTGGCACATCTGTCTTGACCACATTGCCATTATGGTCAAGGTAGAGGAGAGAGAGAGGCCTTCGGGCAGTAGGGACACAACAGGAAGTACCCTCAGGCCAAGGATTGTTGGCTTTAAGGAGGCTGAAGACAGCAGAATGGAAGGAAGCAGCAATGCCAGGGCTGCCAGCCAGGTGGGGTGGGCACTGCCCACTGCAGTAATTCAGCTGGTAACCTTCAGGCTGCAGGATCCAGTCTCGCCATCCCAGTTCCTGAAAGTCTACATAATGATCTCGCCTACAACATAAGGGGGTCTCAGGCTCACAGGTGGGAGTCCTCCTCTTGGCCCGGCCTGCTTCAGGCTCGTTGACACGAATCTTAAGCTCCAGGAAGGGCTGCTGGTGTCCTGTAGTGTCCAGTAGCCACCTCAGTGGTCCAGTAATTGTCTTGTTGCCTTCCAGGGATCTGCAGTTCACTTGGAGTTTCAAGACAGCAGATTCCTCACCTCTCAAGCCACTAGAGGGCAGAGTAAGGGCATGCCAGCCTGGGGTAGTGATTTGGCGCTCTGCCAGGAGGGTCCGGGATCCTCTGTGCTTCCTCCTTGGGCCCCATCGGAAGATCCTCAGGTGAAGAGTGCCAGGAAAGGTTCGGAGCACATGCAGCCAGAGACGGGCATGGTATAGGTGGTGGGACTGAACAGTGGACAGGTGGAAGGTGAGCATGGAGCTGCAGATTGAAGTGGAGGAGTCTGCCCAGAAGACAGTTAACATGTGAGCAGAGATAAAACTCTCTCTGAAGCTCCCTAGAGACTACCCACTGTTCTCCCTCATGCTCAATTTTTTTTGGGGGGGGGAAGAAGAGACTGCCTTGTGTCTTAACAACCATTCCCTGCCCTAGCTCCTCCGTCTGCTGCCACACCCCACTCCCTCTGCCTTGCTTTCAGTCTTCCCTTCTCTCTCCCTTTCTTTGTCTGCTCTCCGCCTATGTCTTTTCTCACCCACCTGTGATGGTAGCAAAGCTGATGACCTCCTCCCCATTCCCTGGAGCCACAATCCCAGGCTGTAGTCTCCGAAGGGCTCTGGTCAGCGCTGCCTGGGGTGGAGGATGAATTATTCTAGGACGACTGGTCAGGTGCAGCCCCTCCAGGATTTGTTGCTTGGCTAGCTCCAGGACCAGAGCTCGTTCTGCTTGGGGTGCCAATGTTGGGCTCTCACAGGAGGTGCATGCAGATCTTGTGCCCTGTGCCCATATTAGTACCCACAGCAGCACCAGCCAGAGCTGGACATCTGGGAGCCCCACGCTCCTGGTGGATGACCCTGGGTCGGGAGCCTTGGATGGCAGTTGCTCGTCTATTGAGTCTGATTGCATGGAGGCCAGTAAGGGCTCAGCAGCTACTCTTGACCAAAGGTAGGGCTACTTGTCTTCTGTGGCCTGGGACTCAGGAAGGCTGTAAATGGATCGTCCGATGGGTAGCTGTTTGACCCAAACAGTTCATGGTCTGGCTACTGACCTGGGGCCTCTTTAGAGCCAGCTGCCTGGGGCTTCCTCGCTTAGTGGTCAGCCAGCAGACCTACCCTCTGAACCTTAGGATTGGCCAGCTGTGCTGCCCATCAGGTTCCTGCAAGGGGTGAAGGTCCCCCCCTGGGGCTCGGGTTTCACCATCTGGCTGTGGTGGCTTGAGGCAGGGGCATGGTAGGGCGGGGGGACAACGTGGACACACATGATGCAAGAAAGAGGATGATTTCACACACTCAGTTCCCAAGGTCTGGGACTCAGAGGAGGGACTCCATATAAGCCAGGTGGCCAGGTGGGGAAGGGCAATTTTCCCCCAGTTCAGTCTTTACTTTTCCCAGTCACCACTCCTGCAGCAATTTCTGTGAGACAGCTGTTAGTTCCATTGTTTATTTCTCTGGGGTCTCTGGACAGAAGGATTACGGTCTATTTCTAGAACTTGGGACTGGGACAGGGGTGAGGGGTTAGGGGATAGTAGGAGAACAGAGTCCTTCTGTTCAAGCTAAGGTGGCAGAGCCACGGGACATAGAAATCACCCCCTGACCCTGCCTGTGCTGTCCGCCCAGAGTCCAATTGGACTGGTGTACAATGTGGAGGAGGGCCAGAACAAGGTGTGGGGGACGTGCTACTGTGATGTCTGGGGAAACCCAGAGAGGTGGGGGTGGTAGTGATGCAACCTTACAGCAGGGCAGAGTCCATCAAGGCTGGCAGAAGGGCATGCGACTTGGAAAGGCCTGTACCCAACTGCTGCTTCTCTTTCAGGGTGCTATAAGAGTTTCCTAGGTTTGAGGCATCCTAGAAGTGGTGTGAGGCCTCTGTAAATGGAGTTAGGAAATGGGAGGTTTAAGAGGTTTTGAGAATAAAGCAAGAGAGTATACCAACCTTAGTTCCCAGTCTCAGCCCTCCTTACTATACACTTCACTGATTTTTTAAAAATTTCTTTCAAGATAAAGTTTTGCTATGTCACCTAGGCTGGCTTTGTACTCCTGGGCTCAAGTGATCTTCCTGCTTCAGCCTACTGAGTAGCTTGGATTATAGGTATATGTCACCTGCCTAGTCTTCAAGGACTTTAAATAGGAGTAGAAAGAACCTTTAATAGGATGGGCCTCGGGCTAGCTTTTCTCAGTCTGCCCCAGTTTCTTCAAGAAGCTGGGGGAGGTAGCAAGGAGAAAACTGTTGGGAAGGTAGTGTGATTTGGAAATGTGTCCCTATACCACTTATTCTTCTTCCTGCTGTTCAGTTGGTGGAGCTGTCAAGAGCCATCAAAAGGGGGTCCCATCTTGGGGGCTGGGCCTCAATACCACCAGTGTCCACTATGTGGCAGTGCTGTGCCACTGGACAGTAGCTGGCTTCTAGATGACCAGAGCTTCCCAGGGACTGGAAAGGGACTGCTGTTGGGAATCAAGAGATTGGGAGTGTGCCTTACCCTCTCCCTCTCGGACCCTGCCTCCCCCACAGGGGTCAGGGAAGAGCTGGTTCCTCTACTATTCCCCCTCACCACTGCCAGAGAGCAGAGGCTATCCTCAGGAATGCATCACTGCCACCTTTGATTTTAGACCTCATCATACTGACAACATGGCAACGGAGCACGATGTCTGGTGCAAGGCTCTTCTTTGGAACTTAGGGCACCATATGGAAAGGAGACAAAAGAAGGGACAATGAGATTCCTACATGCTCCTGTGCACACTGCATTTCTCTCCAGGCCCTGAAACATTCAAGTCCTTTGGCTAGTATTTTCCCAAGCTCCTAATTCCCTTTCTGTTGGTTGCTGTAGGTGAGTTACAGCCCTCTAGTCCCTGAGACTTGAAATACGAGATTGCAAAGTGGAGTTGTCTGTCCATGGTGGTGCCTGGGGGGACTTACCTGTTTGTGCCAGGGAACAGAGTCATGGGAAGTAGCAAGAAATGGCTGCAGGAGTTACTGATCCTGACTCTCCACACCCTGTCAGGTGCCCCCAATTTCCAGCTCTTCCCACCCTCTTGCTGTTACGCCTGGCCTGGCCCTACCTCCCCACTGACACTTACGTCAGAACTCAGCTATAAATACGCTCTTAGCATCTTAGTCACTTTTCCCAAGAAGTGCTCCGGGGTTATAAATACCCCAGCCATCTGCCTCACTGCCCGCCCTACCACCAACCTGGTTGGGGGCTGGGGCTGGGGGTAGCGACAGGCTTGGGGCTGGGTAAGGAAGTAGCAGAAGCAGGAGTACTTGTCTTGCCCAAATGAGAACAGCCTAAAAGAGTTAGGAGGTAAGGGCTACGAGGCTCAGGAAGAAAATGTTGGAAGAAGACAGACCTATTCTTTCCCCTTTTTACATAAAGCAGAACCAAAAAAAAAAAAAAAGGAATTATATGGATCCTGTGTTTATTTAAAAATATGCTATTTTGTTCATCATGGATTTTTTTTGCATTAATTTTGACATTTAAAAAACATTGCAGCCAAGCGCAAGTGGAACATGCCTATAATCCCAGTGGCTCGGGAGGTTGAGACAAAAGGATCGTGGGTTCAAAGTAATTCTCAGCAAAAGTGAAGTGCTAAGCAACTCAGCGAGACCTTGTCTCCAAAAAAAATATAAAATAGGGCTGGGAATGTGGCTTGGTGGTAGAGTACCCCTGAGTTTAATCCCTGGTATCCCTCCCAAAATATTGCATTAAAATATTGCTTATACTGATTGATGAATTTTTTGCCCACTCCTTAAAATTTTGGCTCCAGGGTGAGTGCACCCTTACTTTACCTTACTCCAGTCTCAGTTTTGGGGATTGAAGGAAAGGAGATTAGATCTGGGACAGGGATGAACTAGAGAGACACTGGTAGAAAGAAGGAGATATACCAGAAGACCTCCTCAGATGAAGGTCTCAACTCAAAGGTGGGATGACTTTCATGGGTTACTCAGGAAGCCCTACAGCTCAGATGTGCAGTTCCCCCAGGAGGTCTCTCTCAGACTTTCTCCTCTAGTATTTCTATTCCGGGGACCTCTTACCCTGATAGGAGGGGGTTATAAGCTGAGCAAACACAGACATCACGTTCCCCAAAGGACACATGTGATTTGCGCAAACCTGGCCTTGGGCTGCAGACGATATCGACCCCATGGTTCAGGGCTGTCCAGCCAAAGAGAGGAGATGGTGGGGGAAGAAGGGCAAAGGTCTAAAGAGGACCTAGTCTCTGAGCAAATGCCACCCTCTCCTTATCCTAGGTCTTCCTCTTCTCCCACTCAAAAGACCCTTGCCAGTTGCAGCTTCTAGGCAGGACTCCTGGATGGAGCCCTGGGAGTGGATGAAAGGAAGACAAGCCAAAGGTCCGCCTCCCACCATGTGTGTACCCACAGAGTGTCAGCTTGCTTGACTGATCATTGATCTGTCTCATCTCCTGGAGTGAGTATATAGAGAGGAGAGGAGCGGGCAAAATCTAGTTTTTTTTTTTTTTAACATTTATTTAGAAGTGGTTGGACACAATACCTTTATTTTATTTCTTTATTTTTATGTGGTGCTGAGGATCGAACCCAGGGCTTCACATGTGCTAGACGAGCGCTCTACTGCTGAGCCACAATCCCAGCCCCCAAATCTAGTTCTTTATTAGCCATGAGACCATCAAAGTATGATTCTGGGAGGATGGAGGAGGCATCCTAGGAGAAGAAGAGGCAGGAAGTGTGAGATGGATACAATAGCTTAGCCCTGAGTAGTCCATGTAAAGAGAGAAAAGCAGGCAGGCAGGCTCTGTGTCATTTGGGGGGTGTTAGGGTCCTAACAGGACATAGAGGACCCGCCCCCCCTCAACTGACTATGTCTGCTTCATCAAGAGGACTTAGTAGAGGAATTATATACAAAGCTAAAGGCAGGGTTAAAGGAACCAGTGAGGGATGTTGACACACCAGGGACTAATAAGGGGGAAAGTCATCAGTGTCAACACAATGATATCAAAATCTAGGCAGAGCTGAAATCATGGAAGGTGTAGTCAGTTGGGAGCCTCAGGGACACAACCCAGCCACAGTTACACAGAATCATAACATATAGATAAATAGGTAGCAGGAATGAGAAATAGTCTGACCTCCGTCTCCTCCTATCCCTTGGTCATCTGCCTGGGTCTCCCCTTGGTCAAACTCAGCAGGAAGCCAGAAGGTGTGGGAGCTCAGGTGAGTCAGTCTTCAAGGGCACAGTGCAGGGCAGAAAAAAAACAAAGAATGGATGTGAGTGTGCAGAGAGCATTAGCAACACACTTAGGCAAGGGCCTCAATACACAGAGGGCGTACGTGTCACTCTGGAGAACAATAATCTTTGGTGAATCCAAGGAAGGGGCTTTTTGGAGAACCAGAAAAATCAGAGGGAGTGACTGGGTCAACTGCCCTGGAATGGGGACCATCCAGTGGAAAGGGCAGTTGATCCAGTCAACTGTGAAGGCATAGTAGATAACGGGGTTGATTAAGGGTGAATTTTGCCTGGAAACCTGAAGGTACTGCTCATGGTTGGAGGTGGATCAGAGTCCCTGGTATGGGGTTTGAGCATGAGAGACATGTTGAAAAGATGATGCCTTAGGAGAGAGGTTATGAGGATAGTGATTCTTCTTAGATGCAGATCTCAAGTCCAAGGTGGGACAATTTCCAAAAGTTGCTCAGGAAGATGCAGTCCACATTCTAGACAGAGGCAGGAATGGAATCATTCCCTCTTTGAGGAGGCGCACCTCTGTGAGGGATATTTGTTCATTTCACAAAGACTAACTGCACCCACAGGCTTCTACCACCATGTCAGGTATGTCGGTCTTGACAATGTTGCTGTCCCTGTCATAGTAGAGCAAAGACAGGGGACGCCGGGCTGTGGGCACACAGCATGAACCCCCTCCAGCAGTTCCAGTAGCCGTGTTGGCTTTGAGCAGACTGAGCACTGCAGTGTGAAAGGAGGCAGCAATGCCAGGCATCCCAGCCACATGTAGTGGGCACTGCCCTGTGCAGAAGTTCATTGCATAGCCCTCAGGCTGGATGATCCAGTCTTGCCAGCCAATCTCACGGAAGTCTACAAAGAACTCTTGTCGACAGCACATCCTGGACCCTCCCTGGCAGTCGATGCCTCGTCTGCGAACCCGGTGCTTGCCCCCAACTCTTACCCGGGCTGACACAAAAGGCCTATGGGCAGCTCCATCCAGGATGATTGAGTTGGGGGCTACCTGGCCTTCAGGTACTAGTTCTAGGGTAAGGTGCCCTTGGCTACAGGCAGCTTGAGCTTCAGGCCCCAGGAGGAGCTGGTGCCAGCCAGTGGTATCCATCTCTAGCAGCTGCTGAGTAGCCAAGGTGAGGTTGGGGTCACGTGGATTCAACACAAGGACCCTCATGTTCATAGTCCAAGTGGTATTGGGAGGGAGCTGTATAAAGAACATGAGGCTGGCCTGCTGGATCTCCATGCCACCAGAAGAAGTTCTATCAGAGAAGTGGAAACTAAGACGAGTCTGGTTGATGTTGGAGAGGCCTGTGGACACAAGAAGTCTCAGTCATTACAGCTTTCTAATTGTCAATCCTACCTCTCAATTACCTCTCTATTTCCAGCATACTTGAACTCTCTGTAGCACTTGGCATTTGCTATGATTTGAATGTGTCCCCTAAAGTTAGTATGTTAGAACTTTGATCCCTAATGTGGTAATGTTGGGAGGTGGGGCCTATTGAGAGGGATTTGAGTCATGGAGATCAAATCCCTCATGAATTGATTAATGCCCTTATCAGAGGAATGAGTTTCTTATAAAAGATCAAGGTCATGATTCCCTCCCCCAAATTGCCTTCTCTTTGCCAGTTGCTGGCCCTTTGATTTTTGAACTTCCCAGCCTCCAGAACAATGAGCTAATAAATGTGTGTTCATTATAAATTCCCCCATTTGTGGTATTCTTTATAGCAGCACAAAAGGGGCTAAGAGAATTGGCAATGAGAGTGGGACGGTACTATAACAAATACCTGAAAATGTGGGAGTGGCATTGGAGCCTGGTACAAAGAATTTGGAGAGGCACACTAAAAAAGACCTAGATTTCCCAGAACAGAGTTTTAAGGTCAATTCTGGAGAGGGCTCTAAATAAAAGGAGGGGGGAGTGTGATATTTCTTAAGAGATTACCTAAGTGCTCATGATCAAAATGTTGGTAGAAATATGGAAAGGAAAGGCAATTCTGATGAGGTGTCAGATGGAAATAAGGACTATTTTACTGGAAACTGGAGTAAAGATCATCCTTATTGCAAAGTGGCAAAAAATTGGACTGTATTGTGTCCACATTCTATGGCAGAAATTAAGAGTGATGAACTCTTAAGAGTGATTTGGCAGAATAAATTTCTAAGCAAAATACTGAAGATCAAGATGTGCAGCTTGGGGCTGGGGATGTGGCTCAAGCGGTAGCACGCTCGCCTGGCATGCGTGTGGCCCGGCTTCAATCCTCAGCACCACATCAAAAGATGTTGTGTGGGCTGGGGATGTGGCTCAAGCGGTAGCGCGCCATGCCTGGCATGCGTGCGGCCCGGGTTCGATCCTCAGCACCACATACCAACAAAGATGTTGTGTCCGCCGAGAACTAAAAAATAAATATTAAAAATTCTCTCTCTCTCTCTCTCTCTCTCTCCCCTCTCTCACTCTCTCTTAAAAAAAAAAAAGATGTTGTGTCCGCTGAAAACTAAAAAATAAATTAAAAAAAAAAGATGTGCAGCTTTTAAAAGTTGTATACAGTAAAATGAGAAAGAAATTATTTAAAGATAGAATCTATAATCAAAAGGAAACAGGACATAGAGATTTGGAAAATCCCTAGCCTGACCACGTAAAGAATAAAAAGGCAGCCCGACATAGTGGCTTATGCTTGTAACCACAGATTCTTGGAAGGCGGAGGCGGGAAGATCGCAAGTTCAAGGCAGCCTGTACAATTTAGCAAGATCCTGTTGCAAAATAAAATTTAAAAACTAAGCCTGGCTTGGTGGCACACATCTATAATCCCAGCAGCTCGGGAGCTGAGGCAGGAGGACTGCAAGTTTGGAGCCAACTTTAGCAACTTAGCAAGGCCCTAAGCAACTCTGTGAGACCCTGTCTCTAATAAAATACAAAAAGGGGCTGGAATGTGGCTCAGTGGTTAAGTGCCCCAGGTACCAAAAAAAAAAAAAAAAAATTAAAAAATAGAACTGGGAGTGTTGCTCAGTGGTAGTTGGGGTTTGCCTAGCAAGTACAAGGTCCTGGGTTCAATCCCTGGTACTGGGAGGAAGAAATAAAGACTCCATAAGGCTGGTGGTACAGCTCAATGGTAGAGGATTTACTTACCTAGTGAGGGCAAAGCCCTGGATATGATTGCCACCACCATAAAAAAGGTTCAGTTTGGGGCTAGCATATTAAATTAATAACTAACTGAAGAAGAAATTCCTATTAGAAGTGGGATGCTACTATAACAAAAATCTAAAAATGTAGTACTGGCCTTGGGACTGAGTGTTAGGCAGAGGTTAAAGGACAAGAAAGAGATTATTAGTGAAGGTAGCAAGAACCATGAAGAAATTGCTGTTGAAAGCTCGAGAGAGAGGAACCTGAGTTCTGTATTGGCTATCACCTATGGTAACTTGGAAGCCAGAAACAATATCTAACAAACTTGTGAATTTAGCTAGAGATATTTCCAGGCAGAATCCTGAAAATGCCAATTAGCTTATTTTAGCTGCCTATGATAAGGCATTTCAGGGGAGAGATGAACTAAAAAAGGAACTGTTCAATTTTCTAGCAGAATTTAGAAAAATATTTCTCAAAGTACTTGCTAGGTTGAAAATTAAAACTCTTTTTTTCTCCAACCCTTCTCTGACAAAAGGTTCTCAAAGAAAGAAGTGACCTCAGTATAAAATCCAAATCTGGGGCACTAACAGTTAAACATGGTCTCAGAGTAAAGATATGAATCAATAAAATGTCAGCTGTAAAACCTTGGGTTAAGATCTAACATCTTATTGAGATCTAGACTTTAAGGTGATGTTCTGTAGACTCTCCCAACTAGACAAAAGGTCTTCTAAGAATCTTCAGGGTGTTGTTCCACAACACTAACTTTGGTCTGTTTGTCTTAATAGAGCAGGGTGCCTTTTGTCTAGATGGGTAGACTACAGTTTATTATTTTATTTTATTTTATTTATTTATTTTTTTGAGAAAAAAGAAATAAATGATTTATTGCTTTGTTAGTAAAGAAGAAACACAGGGGACTTCTGTCCCAATAATTTATTATTTTAGAGAACCCACAGAGTTTTTTTTTTTTAAGTTGTCAATGGACCTTTATTTATTTATTTATTTACATTCAGGAGATTCAACCCAGTGCCTCACACATGCTAGGTAAGTGCTCTACCACAAAGCTACAACCCTAGCCCAACCCACAGAGTTTTAAAGAGAATTTTTTTTTAAAGAGAGAGAGAGATGAGATGAGATGAGAGAGAGAGAGAGAGAGAGAATTTTTTAATATTTATTTTTTAGTTATCAGCGGACACAACATCTTTGTTTGTTTATGTGGTGCTGAGGATCGAACCTGGGCCGCACGCATGCCAGGCCAGCACAATACCGCTTGAGCCACATCCCCAGCCTGAGAATTTTTTTTTTTATAGTACTAGGGATTGAACCCTAGTATGCCAGGCCTGCTCTACCATTGAGCCACATCCCCAGCCCATTTTATTTTTTTATTTTGAGACAGGCTCTCACTAAGTTGCTTAGTGCCTTGCTAATTTGCTGAGGATGGTCTTGAACTTGCTATTCTCCAGCTTCAGCCTCCTTCCTGAGTTGCTGGGATTATGGGCATGCATCACCACACCTGGCCTATTATGGTTATCCTGTCCCTGCTTCAGCACTGTATGCTAGGTGTGTGGTAGGCAATACTCAGTATTTTTACTACACAAGCAGTGATGAGTTAGTTTAAATGTTTAAAAACTGGTCTCCAGGGGGGAAAAAATAATTTAAAGACCTAATTTGCAGTGTTTCCCAACTTCTGTAGTATAAATTCTTCCACAATGTCCAATTTCAAGTTACTAATATGATGTCATTGAACATGGAGTTGTGAGATGTTCACAATCAGCTCTAATGAGGCAGTATGATACCATAGAGGTTCTGCCACCTGAAGAAACTTCCAGAAGAACTTCATATATTTTCACCTGATTCAGCCTATGAAATCCTGAACTTCAAGCCTGGTCCTAATGCCATAGTGGGATGAAAATTCTGGGGAGAGGAATTGAGAGGCTGTGATTATATTTTCTGTGTGGCAGGGACAGGAATTATTAGGGGCCAGAAGGCTGACTATACATTGGCAGCCTCCTGTGAACAATATCTTATGATTTTCATGCCTTTGATTAGTTCTATCCTACGCTGACTCTGGGCTTGGTCACAATGACTTTTTTTTTAAAGGTACATGCAGGAGTTTGACAATCATTTACACACTGAGATTGTCCTCTTGGAATCCAGCCACTATGGATCTTTTTATTTTTTATTTTTGGTACCAGAGATTGAACTCAGGGGTGCTTTACCACTAAGCCACATCCCCAGTATGTATGTATGTGTGTGTGTGTGTATATATATATATATATTTTTAAAAAATATATTTTATTTAGAGGCAGTGTTTCACTAAGTTACTTAGGGCCTCACTAAGTTGCTGAGGCTGGCTTTGAACTCACAATCCTCCTGCCTCATCCTCCAGAGCCACTGGGATTATAGGTGTGTGCCACGGTGCTTGGTCAGTCACCATGTTTTAAAGAAATGGGCTGGGGCTGGGGCTCAGTGGTAGTGCACGTGCCTGGTATGTGTGAGGCACTGGTTCGATTCTCAGCACCATGTATTAAAAAAATAAAGATCTATCAGCAACTTAAAAAAAAAAAAGAAAGAAAGAAAGAAAAAAGAAATGGGCTAGACTCCTTAATGTTTAGAGGTTTTTTTGGGAAAGGCTATTATGGACTTAACGTGTCCCCTCAAAATTCATATGTTGAAATCCTAACCACAATATTAGGAGGTGGGGCTTTTAGGAGGTAATTAGGTCATGAGGGTGGAGCTTCATGAAGGGGATTAGTGTCCTTATAAAAGAGACTTCAGAGAGCTATCTTTTCCTTTTCTGCCATGTGAAGGTAAAGAAAGAAAAGGTTCCTACCATAGTCCCTCATGGGCAGGAGATGAGTCTTTTATTTCTTGCTCCCTTCTATTTCAACATTCTAAAGACTTAGCTGTATTAGTCCATTCAGTTATCCTCATTGTCCACATTTACAAACAAGAAAACTATTGACAACCCAGGTCAAGCAGCTAATAAGTCGTTGAATAAAAATGTGAATCCAAATTGTCTGGTGCCAGAGTTTGTGACAGGTCTTGAAGTAGTACCTGGGAGAAAGGGACAAGGAAGGGAAGAGTGTTCCAGACCTATGAAAAAGCTTGCAAAAGCTCAGTTTACATTCTGTTTCTCAGATCCTGTCTCAGAATTCCTGATTTTCTTTCCAGATGCCCACTAATTATTTTAATTACTCCCTCCTCTATGTAAGCAACTCTTTCTTCCTTTTATCCCCTATCCCTTTTTCTGAGCCCTATTTTGACCTTGTTCTGATATGGGGTACATGTGGACATGAGATACGGAGAAGTCTTGTAGTCCTGGTGATCTACTTTTTCTCTTTCTACCAAATAAGACATCTGGAGGAAATGGGAAAGAATGAAGTGACTGGATCCTGGGGCCAGAGAAAGTACAGACTCCATAGCAAAAAGCCCCTGGATCCAGGCCTAGGAAATGTATGGGCTCATACCATAGCCTGTTGAGGTTTATGTGGTATATATAGAGAGGAGCCTGAGGAGATGAGGGCAAGAAATCTCTAAGAAGTGAAATTTACTAATACCAAGCTATCCATTGGTCAGGTGTGAGCTATCAGAGAAAGCCTGGGGGTGGAAGCATGGGATTAGGATTGCAGGCTGTAGGAAGCAGGAGTTGGATGGCTTGATAGAGGAAGTCAGGGTGAAGTTGGTGAGGTGACTTTTCCTTTCCTTGAGAGGTCAGCTTTTGGGGAAGAACTGCCAGGAACCCACCTGTCTCAGCAAAGCTGATGATCTCATATTCTTGTCCCCTGTCGTCCTCCAGAAGTGTTCCCTGGGGGGGACCATGGAGGTGCTGCAGTGCGGTCCTCAGAGCAGCTCTGGCCACAGGACGGTTTAGGGTTGGGCGCTGGGTGAGGTGCAGATTGTCCAGGATGTTTCTCTTGGCCAGGTCAAGAAGCAGCTCCCGCTGGCTCCCCAGGTCCATGGTAGGCCCCTCACAAGCTGGGCACTGACTGCCACCTCTGAGACTGGCCACTGTAGCTGAAGCCAGAAGTAGAAAGGTCAGGAGACATGAGGAGGTCATTGCTGCAGGAGACCCTCTTTGAACAACACAAATCCAGTGCTCAATTGTCTCAACAGTTGTGGTGTCAACTCTGTCCTATCTGCCAGGGGCCCTGGAAGGACTGTGTCTGGCTGGCATGACTCCTTTTTGCAGGAGATAAAACAGCCAAACATCTAACTTGAAAAATGAATCCAGTTACAGGTAGATCTTGGCAAGATGTGCCAACACATAATCAGTGAAAGTGCAGAGTGGGGGATGTGAGGAGAGGTTGGTTTGTTTAGGGAAAGAGATGTCACTGGGCCAATGTTGAGAGATACTTATTACCCATGTTAGCTGCCAGGCCTGGGGACAAAGGTTAGATGAAATTCCTCTTTAGATCACTGGCCTTACTGGGAAGCCTGGGTGGAAAGGGAGTGATTAGAGGTTTGAGGGTAAAGTTTTACTTTAGAGGCTGATGCAGGGGGATTTCTTGAGCCCAGGAGTTCCAGGCCAACCTGGGCAACATAGCAGGACCCTGACTTAAAAAAAAAAAAAGAAAAAAGAAAAAAGAAAAACCACAAACAAACAACAAAACCCAAACAGTTAAAAGATGACTCTCAAACAAGAAGGGTATAACTTTAGGTGCCTGTTCAACAAGGGTATAACTTTAGGTTACTGTTATGTGGATAACTGAGAGCTGCCTTCTTCACCATTTCTTTCTCAAAGTTCACTCCACCCATCTGTCCATTCTCCTTCCTTAGGGCTCAAAGCTCTCAGTCTGAGAGTTAAGATAAGGAGAGGGAAGGGAAGTATCCAAGCCTGATTTTCTGTGTCCTCAGAGGAAAGTCTTAAATGTGGGGAAGGGGCTTAAGATCTATATTTACTCATCCTTTGGAAGTTGTTCTGCCTAGGAAGAGAAGTTTTGAGATTTCTCAGAATTCTTAGCTCTCTTCCAAAAGTCCCAAGTAGTGGGTCCCTAGGAAAAGGGTTCTGTTTCCATAGCAGGGTGTTACATGGCAAGGGTGGAAGAGGGTGGAGGTAGGAAGCACAAGCCTTTCAGCCAGATGACCATGGCTAAAATTCTTCTCTCTCTCTCTCTCTCTCTCTCTCTCTCTGCTGGGGATCAAACCCAGGACTTTGCACATGCTAGGCAAGTGCTCTACCACTGAGCTACTTCCAAACCCTGTCTCTTCCTTTTTTTTTAATATTTATTTTCAGTTATAAGTGGACACATAGCTTTATTTTATTTTTATGTGGTGTTGAGGATCGAACCCAGTATTTCACACATGGTAGGTGAGTGCTCTACCTCTGAGCCACAATCCCAGCCCCCTGTCTCTTCCTTTGATTAGCTGTATAACTCTGAGCAAATTACCTGACCTGTCTTGCTTTAGTTTCTTTATTGGAGAAATGGAAAAAATTATTGGGAACTAAAAAACAAAACAAAACAAAACAAAAACACAAAATAACAACAATAAAACAAAACAAACACAACAACCCTGTGGTCCATAATTTTTTTTTTTTTTTTGGATAACTCATCTGGTGGCTAAACATGATGTGAATGGAAGTGAGGTTATTCATGTTCTTTTAAAAACATTCCACTGAGGGCTGGGGTTGTAGCTCAGTGGTAGAGCACTTGCCTAGGATGTGTAAGGCACTGAGTTTGATACTCAGCACCACATTAGAAAAATAGATAAGATAAAGTTATAAAAACTATTTAAAAAACCCCAACACATTCCACCAGGACTTTTTGTGCCACTTAGACTTCAGAAATATTTGGTTATGGGATGCTACCCTGGGGATATATAACATACTATTAATGTACCATTTTGTCTTTCTAAAACTTGAAAACTTCAGGTCAGGGGAGTAGTTCAGTGTTCTTAGCATGCAGGAGGCCCTGGGTTCAATCCTTAGTATCAAGATAAATAAATAAGGGGCTGGGGTTGTGGCTCAATAGTAGAGCGCTCACCTAGCACATGTGAGGCATCAGGTTCAATCCTCAGAACCATATAAAAATGAAATAAAGATCATGACCACCTACAACTAAAAAAAATAATAATAAAAAAATTAAATAAAACTCGAAAATTTCTGGATTCTGAATTATGTCTAGCCCTAAAGATTTGGAATATGTTATAATAGATTTGTAATGATGATCTTAGTAGTTTTGAGAATTCACTAATTTTATAAAGCTGTTGTAAACAGTAGTTGACATAATAAATGCTTAGTAAAAATTATTATTTCTGTCACATAGGCTTGTTTGGGGGCCAGAGTACCCTCATCTACATATATGCTGAAGAAACTTTACAAGTATTTGCTATTTAGGATGCTCCTTTCCTTTATGACATACCCCAAACTTCCATGTGTATAATGCAATCACTTAGCAACTCATCTCTGCCGCTCACCATTACACTCCTGGATCAGTTTTTGATTTGCAATACACCTGCTTAAAATAGATATATTACACGAATAAATGTTACAATCTAGGCTGCTTCTCAGTTACACTCAAGTCCCCTAGACTGAACGGGTGTGTGTCAGAGATTCTTGGCTCCCCGCCACCTCTTTTTTGGTTTTGAAACTTTAAAAATTTTATTTTTATTTGTTCTACTTAGTTGTACATGGCAGCAAAATGCGTTTCTATTCATTGTACACAAATGGAGCACAACATTTCAATTCTCTGATTGTACGCGGTGTAGAGACCCATCATTTGTGCAACCATACATGTACCTAGGGTAATGATGTCTATCTCATTCCACCATCTTTCCTACCCCCATAACCACTATGGCTCTCTTATACAGGGCTGATTTTCTTTTCTTCTTTTTTTTTTATATTTATTTTTTTAGTTGTAGCTGGACACAATAACTTTACTTCACTTATTTATTTTTATATGGTTCTGAGGATTGAACTCAGGGTCTTGCGTGTGTGAGGCAAGCGCTCTACCACTGAGCCACAACTCCAGCCCCTGATTTTTCTCTTTTTTATTGGGATACAATAGATTTAGCGGTTTGTAGTATAAATGTATTTATTTATTTATTTTGTGGTGCTGGGGATTGATAAATGTATTTATTTTTAAAAATAGTAGCTTTATGAAAATATCCTTAACATACAATAAAATTAACCCTTTTAGGGTGTACAGTTTGGTCACACAATTGTGCAACTGTCTCTATTATCTAAGATCTTTTTCTTTTACAATGCTGGAAATAGAAGCTAGGGATTTTATGCATGTTAGGCAAGTACTCTAACACAGACCAACATCTCCAGCTCAAGAATATTTTTTTTTAAGAGAGCGAGAGAGAGAGAGGGAGAATTTTTTTAATATTTATTTTTTAGTTTTCAGTGGACACAACATCTTTATTTTATTTTTATGTGGTGCTGTGGATTGAACCCAGCGCCTCGCACATGCCAGGCGAGCTTGTTACCGCTTAAGCCACATCCCCAGCCCAAGCTCAAGAATATTTTTATTACCCTAAAAACATACCCTGTACCCATTAGCAATCTCTCCTCATTCCAACCACCCAATCTAAAGGGACTGATTTTATCTTTTAACATTTTAATTTTTTATTCTATTTTTTTTTTAAGAGATGAGTTCTTATTTTACTGTCCAGGTTGGCCTGGAGCTCCTGGGTTCAAGTGATCCTCTTACTTCAGTTTCTGGAGTGTGTGGGACTACGGTTGTATGCCACCTTGCTGGCTCTAACATTTTAATATTCACAATGCCTTCTGGGATGATAGCCTTATCTTGAGTTTGCGGGAGAAGATCACAAGTTCCTGGCCTTATTGCATGTTTTTCTACAAGAGAGAGAGAGAAAGAATTTTTCAATATTTATTTTTTAGTTTTCGGCAGACACAACATCTCTGTTTGTATGTGGTGCTGAGGATCGAACCCAGGCCCCACGCATGCCAGGCGAGCACGCTACCGCTTGAGCCACATCCCCAGCCCCCCCTCAACTCTTAAGATGACTTTAGCTGCTTCTCTTTTCCCAGTGAAGCTGGGAAATAAGGCTTCCTGAATAATTAGGGAAAAGAGGTAGACAAAAAAGGAGAAGTAGAGGAAGGCTCCTCTCAGGGATGAATGCCTCAATGATTCTGCCTTAGTTGTTCTTCAGTTGCTGCACTTACTCTAGAAAGACTTCAAACCATTTCACTGTATATCAAGGTCCTTGGTAATCTGCTCTTTTCAGTTACATTTCTTTTCTTTCTTTTTTGTACTGCAGATTGAACCCAGGGATACTTTACCACTGAGCCACATCCCCAGTCTTTTTCATTTCCACACAGGGTCTTGCTAAATTGCTTAGGGCTTCTAAATTGCTGAGGCTGGCCAGGAACTTGTGATCTTCCTGCCATAGTCTTCCATAATGCTGAGATTATGGTTATGCGCCACTGCCTGGCTACATTTCCTTCCTTCCTCCCTCCCTCCCTCTCTTCCTTCCTTCCCTTTTCTTTTCTTTCTTTCTTTTTTTTTTTTTTTGAAACAGGTCTCCCCGTGTTGTCCAAGCTGATTTTGAACCCATGGACTCAAGTAATCCTCCAGCCTCAGCTTCTGTGTAGCTGGGACTACAGGAACATGCCACCATATCTGGCCTTTGCACTTCTTCCCCCGAGTTACACTTATGGGGTAGTTAAGATCAGGCTCTGAGGATCAATTGCTTTAGTTCAAAGTCTGGGACTTTGGCTAAATTAATATGCATCAGGTTTCCTCATGTATAAATCAGGAACAATAACAGCACCTATGGTCTTGAGGATTAAATAGATGTAGAATGCTACACATTCTATAGAATGCTACACACTGCACGTTACACAAAGATTATACAAACCTTAGCTATTATTTCCTGGCCATCACTATGCCTTCAACTCGAAATCGTGGAACTTTCCTCTCACATAATCAATACGTAATGGTGGATTACATCAATGTAAAGTGCACGGCTTCTTTTAGGAAGTTGGTCATTAAATTATCCAAATACTCATAATCAATAACGGGACTGATTCCATCTGGATAGAATGGCGAAATTTAAGATGACTATTAAGAAAAAGAACGGTATCTTGAGGAATGGGTGATGGTAAGAAGAGATTTTAATAACGATGGCCAGAGTTTCTCCCAAGTCAGTTTTTTTCTTTATTTATACAAATATTTATTGAGTATGTGTTCTCTTTTAGGCGCAGAAGTTACTCTCCTAAGTGAAAGACTGTTTTGAAAGAGCTCTGTAACTGAAACTCCTCAGTTATTATTGGCA